TCGGAGAGCCCGGCAAGCTACCGAGAGTATTCAATATGCCAGACACAGTAACAACAAAGTCTCCAATGGAGACGTTACTGGGCCCGCTCAAGCAAATTGATGATCAACCGGAGGGCCTTTACCTTTTACCTTTACCTATTAGTGAGACATCATGAGGTACAGTTGTAGACTTACAAATTTTTGTGCTTGGTTTCAATTATACAGTGATCAAATACCCATCCCTCCACCAGTGCCCATTTCCCACAACCACGGGTCCCAGTATCCCTCCCACCCCCCAACCCCCCCATCCCACCCTGCCTCTGTGGCAGGACACTCCCTTTTGTTCTCTCTCTCCTTTTGGGTGTTGTGGTTTGCAAGAGAGGCAATGGGTGGCAATCATGTTTGGTCTATAGTCTACTTTCACATGCTTCTCCCATCCTGGGAGGGTCCTCCCATGGTGTTAAATTTTTGACTGGGTGGCAGCTTTGGGACGTGTGACTGCCGGGGCTTCTGGAAACAGGAGCTGGGGGAGAGGTAGCCCATCTCGACTCTGTGAAAGCTGGAGATTTCAGTCACAAAACCCACATCCCTGAATTTTTCAGCAGATTTATTTGAGTGAGGCCCATCCTGAGGCAGCGGAGTCCAGCACGGGGCCTGGGGTGATTGTGGAGTGTGAAGATTTCTGGCTGCCGGGGTTCTATTTGGGCGGGTGCTGGGCTGACCCACCTTCACTCCAGGGTTCCCCAGACGACTCTGCCTGGCACTGAGTCTGGGGGGAGGGGGGGTGTCTCTGCAGGTTGTTCTCTTTCGAAATTTATTTGAGTCTCTGGATTGTGGCTGGTGAGCTTCCATGGTGGTCTGTGGGTGTGACTTGTTTAGAAAGTTTAGTCCCGGGGCTGGAGCAGTAGCACGGCGGGTGGGGCGTTTGCCTTGCACACAGTCAACCCAAGTTTGATTCCCAACATCCCATTTGGTTCCCTGAGCACTGTGAGGGGTGATTCCTGAGTGCAGAGCCAGGAGGAACCCCTGTGCATTGCCGGGTTGTAACTCAAAAAGAAAAAAAAAAGAGAAAGTTTAGTCCCAGGCGCAGGTTCTTTTGTGAACCCTCCGCGTAGGCCCCACTGAGCAGCAGAGGAGGATGAGAAAGGGCTGCTGGGTGTGCCAGGGCTGGAGCTGGGAGGTGGGACCCGTGTCCGGGGGCTGGGAGGTGGGACCCGTGTCCCCAGCCTCCTCTTGTCCTTGTTGCCCAGGGCTCACTCACTCACAGGGGCCCTGAGAGGTGCCGGGGACGGCCCCGGTGGGCTGACAACACCCCGAGCCTAGCCCTGCGCTATCTCCGGTCCCAACACACTGGTCCTGGGGAGGTTTCTGTCCTCAGGCCCGGCGTCCTTCTCCCCAAAACCCTCGTCTCCCTGACGCTGGGCCCAGGTCCTTCTCTGGGCCTAAATAAGACCTCAGCAGCACCTCGCTGCCGTGTTCCCACCCTGCCCCTCCACAGGCCCAGGACCCCCTCAAAGGGACACAGGAGCTGCCAGTGAGCAGGACACGTGTGCAGGGTAAGGAACCTCTGCTCAGGTCTGCGGCCAGGCCCGAGGAGCAGAGGGCGTGAGCGTCCGGGCTCCACCTGAGCGTCAGGCAACAGAACACAAGGGACAGGAAGCAGCAGAGCCCTGTGGAGGCAGAGGGGAGAGATGTGGGGGTGGGGAGTGGGGGTGGGGGGCTGGGGCTTTCATCTCTCCCCCTCTCCCCCTCCGGCACACCCTGCATGGGTCCGACACCACCAGAAGTGACCGGAGTGCCGTTGTGTGTGGCCAAAAACAAACTCAAAAGCAGATCATCTTAGGTCACTTTTAGAAAATAATCGCGGTTTCATTTACGATTTTCAAAGGCATTTATAAGACGCAGCCAAGCTCGGCTTCTTTAGTGTTGGTTTCACTCTGGGCGCTTTCCCAGAGGCCTGCCCTGGCCATCGGACTGCTCCTCCTGGAACCCTGGCCGTTTCCTTTGCTCTGAGCTCGGCTCTAGGGAGCGAGGAGGGCAGGCACCGGGAGGAGGGGAGGCCAGAACGCAGCCTGGGTGCCACCTAGATTCTTTTCCAGACACTGCGCAGCGGGCAAGGCCAGAGGCAGGCAGGAGAGAGGCAGCACGGCGGGGAGCCGGTCTCCCCGAGAACCGACAGCCCACAGGGATCAGACCCAGGTCTCAGGCATGCAATGTGCGTGCTCTGCCCCGGGGCCGTGTCCTCACTCTAGGTTTCTTGCTGTTAAGGGAATTCTGGGGACAACGTGATACTACAGGCAGGTAAGGCGTTTGGCCCGGGTTCAATCCCCGGCATCCCATTTGGTTCCCAGCACTGCCGGAAATGATTCCTGAGTGCGAAGCCTGATGTGGCTCATTCCCACCCCCCAAAAAATAAAACAGGGGCCAGGGCAGTAGTTCAGTGGAGGACAGTGCCTGCCTTGCACGAAAATGACCCACGTTTGATCCCTGGCATTCCTTATGGGTCCCCCAGACACCACCCGCGTTGCTGGGCAGGTAACCCAAAATCAATAAACTAAACAAAAATGTAAAACTGGGGTCCGTTAAGGCGCTCGCTGCCCATCAAACCTGCATGGGTTTGGTCCCCAGACTACCCCCAAGCACCACCGGGAGACCGGAGTCAGTACCGCCGGGTGCAGCCTGAACATCCCTCCAAAATCACACAGCCGCAGAACTCATAAAATATAATTGGCCCGTGGAGAAGCCTGATAATGTTTTACAAGTCTGCGATCTCGTTAGTGCCCGCTCAGAGGGGACAGCGAATTCTGCTTGGGAGCTGGTCTCGCTGCATCCACACATCAGCCTCGCACCCCACCAATGTTGCACGTCCTCCTGACACTGCCAGAAGTAACCAGGTCCCGTCTCCCAAAGCCTGGCGACAGTTTGGCCTCTGCTGAGACCCTCCTCCACCCAGCAGCCCGGCAGGGGCCTGCAGAGCACACTAGGAACGGACACACAAAGGTGACAAACTCCAACGGGCTGTCCGACTGCTGACCCGCTTAGCACATCAGAACATCCAGTTACCGTGTCCCCTTCGATTTTCATCGAAGGTCCAGACACTGACCCTCAAGGTCTCAGATCTGAGATGTCCAAAGGAGATTTCTTGAAAAGTCCCAATTCTGCCACTAGTGAATCTTTCCGCGTCCCAGGGCTGGAGTGATGGGACAGCAGGGAGGGCTTGTCTTGCAAAGCAGTTGATCTGGGTTCAATCCCTGACATCACATATGCCTTGAGCCCCCAGAGTGAGCCTTGAACAGAGCCTGGAGCAAGTCCTGCGAACACAGCTGGGTGTGCCCCTCCCCCAACAAAACCGCTTGCATGTTCCTTGAAAGGTCAGGCTGATGTTTGTGGGAAATGTGACATTCCCGAGGGCTTGTCCAGTCCCCATACGAGCATGGCTGCCTGACTGCCCGCCCACCCTGCCGCAGACCCTTCTAGAAGGCGGGAAGCATCAGCACCAGCCAGTGTCACCCTGGGTGAAGCTCAGGAACACAGCTGCCCACTTACCATTCCGAAGATGCAGCAGGACCCGTTCTGTGCCTGGGGCCAGTGCAGTGGGAGGACATGCGCCTTGCATGCTGGCGAGCCTGGCTTGGCCCTGGGCACCACTGGGTTCCCCGAATGCCACTGGGTCCCTACCCACACCACAGTCTCAGTCTCTCGCTTTCAGGCAAAGGCCTGTCTGGCCAAGGATTGCCAGAAGGGAACCCTGGGGAAAAGACCCTGGTCCGCAGCAGGTGGTAGCCCTGGCCGAGCGCCCACCGGGCCCAAGGGCCTTTCCAAAGGAAAACTGTGGCTCCTGCCAGGGGCACCGGGGCTCCCGGGCATCACGAGGAGCATTTTCAATTTATGTTTGGGGTCACACCTGGTGGTGTTCAAGGCTTCCTCTTGGCTGTGCACGGGTGGGCTCAGGGACCCAAATGGTGCTGGGGATTGAACCCTGGTCTGCGACATGCAAGGAAACTGTCCACCCACGGTACTGCCAAACGGGTCCGTGATAACACTTTACAAAAAGGATCAGCCCTTTCCCTCAACATTCAAAGGGTCCGACCTCTGCTTTCCTGAAATTCCCTGAAACTCTCTGTTCTTGAGAGTCTATGAAATGTCCTCCGGGCATCAGCTGGACAATTCTCCATTTGAAACACCTAAGGGGGATCCCCGGCATCCCGCAGGGTCCCCTGAGCGCCGCCAGGAGTAATTCCTGAGTGCAAAGCCAGGAGTGACCCCTGAGCATTCCCGGGTGCGACCCAAAGCGGCAAGACCAACCAATGAACAAAAACTGCACCTTCCTAGGAGGTGCCCGACGGCGCCGGGATGAGTCCAAGCAGACGGAGCCATCAGGATTTCCTCCTGTTTTCCCTTTTCTTTAAAATAAACGTTTATTTCAAGTATGAAAGGCAAAACGTCTCGACATCCAAAAACTTCGGTGTAACAGGTATAAAACAAGACGCCTGACAAAAGTCTTACAATCAAGTACAAAAACCCCAGAATATACTTTCAACGGTCACAGTGGGAATGTCTGAGAGAGAAGTCTTTGCGCGCACGCCCCGGGGGCGAACGCGGGCACACCCGGCCGGTCACCTCACAGCGCGTCACCCCGAAGGGGGCGGCCGGAAGTCACCCCGAGGGGAGCGGCCGGCAGCGTCGCCGTGTCACCTCAGGGTGTCACCCCGAGGGGAGTGGCCAACAGTGTCGCCGTGTCACCTCACAGCGCGTCACCCCGAAGGGGGCGGCCGGAAGTGTCACCCTGAGGGGAGCGGCGGCAGCATCGCTGCGTCACCTCGCCGCATGTCACCCCGAGGGGAGCGGCCAACAGTGTCGCCGTGTCACGTCACAGCGCGTCACCCCGAAGGGAGCGGCCGGCAGCGTCGCCGTGTCACCTCGCAGCGCGTCACCCCGCGGGGAGCGTCCGGCAGCGTCGCTGCGTCACTTCAAGGTACGTCAGCGCCTCACGTCCCGGCGCGTCACGCCTGCGGGGGAGGCCGGAAGCGCCGCCGCGTCACCTCGCGGCTGGGGAGGGCGGGCGCGGCCGGAAGCGGCCGGAGGCGCCGCGTGGCCTCGCGGTGCGTCGTCGCCGTCGCCGTCGCGTCGTCAGGGCGCGTGTCCGGGGCCGCCGAGGCTGCGGCTGCGCTTCTCCAGGTAGAGGCGCCGGTAGGTCTGGAACATGGCCTGGAGCCCCCCGGGCCGCGCGTCCGAGCTCAGCGACCGGCGGGGCAGGCGCGGCGCGGGGCGGCCGCCTGGGGACGGGACGGGGCGGGGAGGATCGGAGTGAGTGGGTGGGCGGGTGGGTGGGGGGCCCCGCCCACGACCCCCGCCCGCGACCCCCGGCCCGCCCCGCCTCACCTGCGCCCCGCGCCGCGTCCGGCCGCCCGGCCCCCGCCGCGCCCTTCAGCCAGTCCTCCTTGGTGCTCCGGATCGCGGACACTGGGGGACACGGACGCGGACGCGGTCAGGGTCAGGGCTCGCGGCCCCGCCCGTGCCTCGGTTTCCCCGTGCGGGCTGGAGTCCACGTCCCGGGCGCCCGCCCGCCCCCCCACGGGCTTCCCGCGCGGGACGTGGGCAGGGCCAGGCGCCCCCCGCCCCCGCCACGACCCCTGGGCGTCCCCCCGCCCCCCCACACCCCGTACCTTGCGCGGGCTCCTGCTCCCGGCGGGGCCCGGGCTGCGGCGCCGCCCGCTCGGACCTGGAGCCGGACGCGGACCCGGCCTGGGGGATCAGCGCCTCGGGGCACAGCTTGAACTCCAGCATCCCGGGACCCGCGTCCCGCGGCCTCCGCGGCGGGTCCAGCTGCGTGAGGCAGATGCTCTGGCGCGCCGTGCACTGGAAGCCCACGCGGTTCAGGTAGCGCTTGCGCGGGCCGCCGGGGTCCTGGGCGGGGTCCCGGGCGGGGTCGGACCCGGGCTCCTGGCGGGGCGCCGCGCCCTTCCCCGGCCTGTCCCGCGGCGCCGCCCGGCCCGGCTCCCTCTTGGCCGCGGGGGCCTCCTTGTGCTTGTGGCCGCGCGCGGGGCCGGGGGACGCGGGCCTCGGGGCCCGCGGGGGGGACCTGTCCGCGCCCGGGGCCCTGGCCTGCGGCTTCTCCTTCCCGCGACCCCCCTCCCGGGGAAGGCTCGCACCCCCCGGGGTCTTACCGGAGCCGCCGCCCCCCGCGGGGCCTGCAGCCGGGCCCTGCCCCGGCCCGTCCACCCGCCTCCTCTTGGGGGCAGCGTCCAGGCCGCCTGCGCCCTCTGACTTCCTTTTGTCCCAGGCCCGGTGGTCGGCCCCGGCCGCCTTGGGCAGCAGCTTCCTGGGCCCCGCGCTGGGGGGCTGCTCCTTGGGCCTCCGGGGCAGGAAGCCCCCCTTGGCCCTGGGCAGCTGCGGCCCGGGCACGGGCTGCTTCCTCGGAGGGGCCTCTGGGGGGCTCCGGGCCAGCTCGCCGGCCAGCGGCTTCCCCTTGCCCGGGAGCCCCCGGGAGGGTGCGGGCTCGAGGGGTTCCCTGGGCTCTGGGGGCTCCCTGGGCGCGGGGGTCTCCCTGGGCTCCGGGGGCTCTCTGGGCTCCCGGGGCGCGGTGGGCCTGGGCGCGGGGGGGCGAGCGCTGTCCGGGCAGCGGCTGCTGCGGCTTCCCGGGGCCGCAGGGCTTGGCCTTGGCTCTGTCCCTGACCTTGCCAGACCCCACGAAGGGTCTTTTCCGGTCCAGACGCGCCAGAGGACTGCGGTGGCGAGGGCCGTCCTTCGCCGAGGGCCCCTCTCCCTGCTTGTGCCTCGAGGCGTCCTGCGAGGGCGGGGGGCGCTCTCTTTTCCTCTTGGGGGGCTTGGCCTTCCGATGGCCCTTGGCGAGGCTGCACTGGCACTGAGGGACCCCTTCGTAGACCGCCGAGAGCCAGCCCAGGGCACAGCACGGCAAGTCGTCCTTCTGGGGGTCTGCGGGAGTGTTCTTGGGGCACTCTGCCTTCACAGCATCCACCGGAGGGTCGCCCCCGCTCCCCTCCTTGGCGCCCTGTGCCGGGGTGTCCCTCTGTCTCCCCTCCTCAGTGTTCTGTGCTGGAGGGTCCCGACTTCCCTCCTTACTGCCCTGTGCCAAAGGGTCCTTCCAGGTCCCCCCTTCACTCATCTGGGCCTGGGGTCCCTGCTGGCCCCTCTCCTCACTGGCCTGAGCTGGGGGGTCCCCCCAACCCCCTTCCTTGCTGACATGGGCAGGGGGCTCCCTCTGACTCCCCTCACTGACCTGGACTGGGGAGCCCCTCCTACTCCCATCCTCAGTAATCTGGGCCTGGGGTCCCTGCCGGCCCCCCTCCTCGCCGCCAGCTGGGGGTCTCCGCTCCTTAGACACAAGCTGCCCTCTTGGGGCCTCCGGGTCGGTGTCCGGCTCCCGCAGGTCCTGCTCGGGAAACAGCGCCCTCATCTGCTCGGGGTTTAGGACGGTGATCTTGATCTGGCCATCATCGGTGGCTGTGGCCGCATCGGCTGGCTTCAGGGAACGTGGACGCTCCCGGCCGCGGCTGGGAAGGCGCCAGGAGGCCGGTGCCTCGCAGGTGCTCATGGGCGTTACGCCATAGGGAAACTCTCTTAGAAGCTCCGACAGCTGGTCTTGGAGGTACAGCACCGGCGGCTCCTCTCCGGGAGCCCTTTCGGCATTCTCGCAGGACCCATCCTGAGCAGCCGTCCCAGGGCCTAGGTCAGAGGTCTGGCCTGCTTGCTCCATGCGACACCCAGGTCCACTGGCCTCCATGGCCGCACAGTGTCCATCCCCAGGATGCAGGGGGGCCAGAGGAGGCAGTACTGGGGGGCGTGGGGAGGCTGGTGCTGGAAGCCGTGGCAGGACTGGCTCTGGCTCTGGGGGGCGCAGGGAGGCTGGTTCCGGTTCCGGGGGGCGCAGGGAGGCTGGTTCCGGCTCTGGGAAGCGCAGGGAGGCTGGTTCCAGTTCTGGGGGGTGCAGGGAGGCTGGTTCCGGTTCTGGAGGGTGCAGGGGAGCTGGTTCCAACTCTGGGGGACTCTGGGAGGCTGGTTCCGGCTCTGGGGGGCACAGGGAGGCTGGTTCCAGTTCTGGGGGGCTCTGGGAGGCTGGTTCCGGCTCTGGGGGGCGCAGGGAGGCTGGTTCCGGCTCTGGGGGGCGCAGGGAGGCTGGTTCCAGCTCTGGGGGACTCTGGGAGGCTGGTTCCGGCTCTGGGGGGCGCAGGGAGGCTGGTTCCGGCTCTGGGGGGCTCTGGGAGGCTGGTTCCGGCTCTGGGGGGCGCAGGGAGGCTGGTCCCAAGGGCTGGGGAGCAGTCGACCACTGAGCGGTTCTGCCAGGAAGTGCCACCCCCTGCGCGGCAGCTTGGCTCCGACCTCCCATGTCTCTGTGCTCAGCCAGCACCGGGCCCAGGGGCTCACTGAACATCTCTGCGATCTGGGGGTTGTAGGACGTGGCCCCCTCCACCAGAGAGCAGATGCTGCCGATCTGCAGCCTGTTCTCCCCCGCCCTCTCCCCGTCCCCGTCCCCGGGCTCGGCCTGCCGGGCGGCGTCCTCAGGGCGCCCCGCAGCCCAGGGCTTCGGCCCGTCCGCGCCGGCTTTCCGGGCAGCCGGGCTTCCCGCGCCCTCGGCCAGGCGGCTCTGCAGGCTGCACACGCTGCCCTCCTTGATCACGGGGTACACCATCTCGGGGGCGCCTCCTTTCACGGCTGGGGGCTTGGCACTGGAGAGGACGAGCGGGGTCACCACGGCGATCTGCAGCTCCGACCCCTTGCTCACCGCCATGCCGGGGAGCTCGAGGTTCTGCGGGGCCCCCGGCGCGGCCGAGTCCTGGGGGCTGGCGGCCGCCCTGCTCCCGGAAGCTCCCGCCGTGAGCCCGCTCTTGCTGTAGGGCGCAGGGGCGGCGGCGGGGCCGGTGCCCGGCTGCTCCCGGGACACGGCCCTGGCAGGCTCCGCCGGGCCGTTTCTCCACAGAGAGAGGCAGGTGGCCAGCAGCTCCATGGAGCAGGGGCTGTCGCTGTGCGAGTGCGCGCCGCTGGCCGGGGACGGCAGGTCTGGCGGGAGGGCGTGCTCGGCGGCCTTGGCTTCTGGGGCTCCGGCTCTCGCTTCGGGCCCCATCGGCTGGGACTCCTGAAGGGTCTCCTGCGCGCCTCTGCAGAGCTTCCCCTGCGCTGTGTGTTCCCCGGCTTCGAGCAGGCGGAGGATGATGGGGTGTTTGTGCAGATACTTGTCCTCGGCCTCGCGCAGGGACTGTGGAGGAAACGTCGCGGGCGCTCCCAGGTCTGCGGCTTCATTCTGCTCGATGCCGGCAAAACTTCCCGCGGAACACGAGGTGCTGCTTCCGGCCGCCGGGGCCCCCTCAACAGCGGAAGTCTGCGAGGGGGCCTGAGCTGGCTGGCCTTGGCCCTGGGCCGACATGGGCAGCATCTCAGGGCTGAGAGGCCCATGCAGGCCGGAGCCGAGTGCTCTGTGACTCGGGGGCCTGCCCCCAACCCCGTCCAGCTCTTTGTTCTCGGTGCTGCCTGCGGTGAGGAGGCTGAGCAGAGACCCAGAGTGGCCTTTGCCGCCTTCTTTCTGTGCCAGTTCAGGGTTGGGGCCGGGGTCACTGTATGGAGCATTCGGCGTCTTAATGCAGCCCGCCGCCATCAAAAGTTCCTTATTGATTTTGATTTTCCTGGCAAGTTCTGAAAACTTATTTTTTATCTCTACCAGTGTTTTGATATCTCTCACGAGCTTTTCCTTTGTGACATTCGTGTCCAGCGCTGAATTTGGAGGGAGGGTGCAGGGAGCCACTCTCTTCTCCTGCCTACGTGGCACAACTGTCTGCACACCGGGCATGGGAACAGAGGCCCTCGCGAGCTCGTGGAAAGGTTCTCCAGACACGGAGGTCCTTGCGGGCCCGTGGAAAGGTTCTCCAGACACGGAGGTCCTCACAGGCCCGTGGAAAGGTTCTCCGGACACAGAGGTCCTCGTGGGCCCGTGGAAAGGTTCTCTGGACACAGAGGTCCTTGTGTGCCCGTGGAAAGGTTCTCCGGGCATGGAGGTCCCCGGGGGGGTGTGGAAAGGTTCTCCGGACATGGAGGTCCTCATGGGCCCATGGAAAGGTTCTCCGGGCATGGAGGTCCCCGGGGGGCCGTGGAAAGGTTCTCCAGGCATGGAGGTCCTCGTGGACCCGTGGAAAGGTTCTCCAGGCATGGAGGCCCCCGGGGGCCCGTGGAAAGGCTCGCTGGGGATGCTGTTCATCACCTTCACGTTGCAGAAACTTCCAAGTGTGCTGAGGTTTTCAGCTGGCTTCGGCAACACGGGTCGGAAGCTGCCACAAAACTTCTTCCTGGTGTCGGGTGTATGAGGCTCCTGGGTCCGGGGCGGCTCTGCAGCTGTGTGTTTGGAGACGTGCTGAGGACTCGGCAGGGGCTGCCCTGCATAGCTGCAGCTGTAAGAGGCGACTCTCGCGTCCGGCTGCCCGGGTGCTGCCTGCTGGGGCGGCAAGGCCAGGACGGCAGCTGGAACACTGCTCCTGGCCAGCACCGGGCCTGGCTTCTGCACGGCAGGCTCCGACAGCGAGCTGGAGAAAGGGTAGGTGTGCGGCGGGGGCCTGTACTCCGGGCAGGCTGGCCCGCTGGACATGTGCTGCTGCTGCTGCTGCTGCTGCTGCTGCTGCTGCGTCCAGTGGCCCTGGAAATCCTGCAGAGCCGCGGGGCTCAGCCTCGAGCTGCCCTGGAATGATACAGGGGCGCGCGATGAGCTCACAGGGACCATCTGCAGCTGCATCGAGTAGGTGTCGGACGTGACAAACGGACTCTGCAGCACCTGGGCCATGGCAGGCGCCTTCATCCCAAAGCTGCTCTGTGGCATGGCACTGGGCGCCGGGTGCTGCAGCGCAGAGTTCCTCAGGGCTGGGCTCAGCCACGCCCCGGGGGACACACTGTGGTCCAGGGCTTTGGGCCCTTTGATGCTGGCGTAAGTGACCCTTTCCACCGAGGTCTGCGACATCACCATCGCCCCGCTCTGCATGCTTGTGGCACCGTAATTTCTCAGCTGGGCCTGCGGGTGCCCGAGCTGCGGCTGTGCGGCCAGGTCCGAGCTGCCCAGGAAGGCGCAGGCGTCCGGGCTCTGTCCAGGGTAGGCCAGAGAGCTCTGAGGGGTGCTGCCCAGGGGGCTTCTGAAGGGCTGCTCCAGGAACGGGGATCGCTTCCGTGGGTACTCGGGCGGCGGCAGGGAGGTGCTCCCAGGCTTCGCGTTCCAATTCATCGCTGACGAGCCTGTGGTCTGGGGTGTGAGGAACCTTTGGGGAACAGAGACCTGCTGTTAGAAAGCTGTCCGGTGCACACAGAACTGCCACCCAGAAGGGAACAGGCGGCCCCAGAGCTGACTGTAGGGTCTGAGACTGTCCCCTAAGACTGCACGAAAGACAAAGCCTAGCCTCTCTCGTTTGTGGGATGAGCAAGAAGGGCCCGGTGCCTCTGACCCACCTACTACCACAGCATTCTCGCTGGGCAACAATGTGGTGGCCCCTTCCTCGAGGGACTCCGTGCTTGCTATAAAAAGCACAACGTGGCTCCAAAGGAAAGACGCACCTGGGTCCGAGTTCAATCCCTGGCACCACACGTGCCCCGAGCACTGCCAGGAAGCCCTGGTGCTCACCAGCACTGCTGGGCTGGGCAGCATCAGGTGCCCAGGTGTGGCCCCGAGCCAGAGTGCATGCTCCCCCTGCAGGAGGCCCAGAGGAGCCAAGTGCCAGGGTCAGCCCTGATTGATCATGGTCAGGTGTGACGCCCCCCAGCAAGAACAGTGTCTGCCTTCTTCCATGGCTGACTCCTGAGGGCCTGACCCTTACCATCTATCACTTTTAATAGTACTAAAGGTCAAACTTCATCTTTCAAAACCGAATGGGATCCAGGTGTGTGTATGGGGGGAGGGGGGGCGTGGGCGAAGCAGCCCACAAGCACGGCGGTGCGTTCCACATGGGAGTCAGGGCCCATCCCAGTGAAAACCGTGACCAGAATCACAGTCTCACAGAATCACTGGCAGACACCAGCCTGCACCACCAGGCCACCTGGTTACTGACCTTTGCACTTCCCTGGCCTAAACTAAGAATTCTTCCATGTTCTGTAATTTTTGCTAAGTTGTACCTGGAAATCCCAAAAGTACACAATGAAATCAAAGAGTCAAAGGTTACTACAATTATTTTTTATAAACAATGACAAGAGACCAAAAGAAGGTGAATTTTACACTAACTAGTATACCAGGATATCTAAAACTGGACAGACCTATCAACCTGGCAAGATGACAAGAGGAAGAGTGATTGAAATAATTCAAGCTTCAACTTAATGCTGAAAGTACAACTAATAACCACAGAATACACTAAGAATTTTTCCAAGATACATGAAATTTTGTAAATGATCACATATATAACTGTTTAACTCACAATAAAACTAATCTAGAATCTGTAGGAAAAAAAGGCAGCCAGGAAATGGCCCTACCTCTGCCCACAGGGCACTCTGACCCCTCTATCACTCCAGTGGCAAGCGCAGTGCCTGAAGAAATGAGTGAAGCCTACTCCTCTCAGGGAAGATTACGGATCAGTCACAGCACTGAAAAGACGACTTGGAAAGCCCAGGCAGCGATGAGGGCACAGCAGGCATCCACAAGAGAGGTGACGCTGGTGCTGCCGGGGTCCGAGCTTCCCCCACCGCCAAGAACAAGAAAATTCACGAGGGTGCCGGCAGCACCACAGAGCCACACTGGGGACACTGACTCAGATCTGTGGGCTGACATGTGTCAAGGGACCAAGTGCCACAAGAGGATTCACAACTGAGGGGCCAGGTGGGCTCCCTGAGGCATCAGGACAGCCTCACTGCCCCGACATCTGTGTGTTAGGGTTCGTGACCTAAAGAACAAGGGCCACACAACTGAAGTTCAGCGGAGCCTTATTTCGCACCAAGCGCAGTCCAGAGACTGCGGGACTTTCCGGCTCGGGATTGGCTGCCTTTTCCTGGGTCAGATCTTTCAGCGATTTCTTTCTCTCCCCCTACTGGTCCCCAAGCTGCTGAGGTTGGCAGTTATTCCTGCGAGGTGGGCCCTGAAACACCACACCAGCTCTCCTGGTTGACACCAGGGTCATTCTACAGGGCCATCCACACACTGAGACTCAAAACATGAGCATAAAGTTCCTGAAAGAGTCGATGGGGGCTGCAGAGACAGGACAGGAAGCGGGCTCCCTTTCATCCAGCCTACCCAGGTTCAATCCACCCCCATATGGACCCGCAGGAGCACCGCCAGACGTGGCAAAAAAAAGTTTACAAAGAGACTTGGGTGAGGAAATGAGGGAGGGGCCATGCAATCAGCACCCCTGGTTAGTAGTTTTATACCTTCTAAGGGCACATGTGAGCTGACCAGGGTTTGAGCCCCAGCACCCATATGGTCCCCTGAATCCACAATAATCTCTGAACACAAAAACAGGAGTTAGCCCTCAGGACCACTGGGTGTGCCCCCAAAACCCTCTGCAAAAAAAAAAATTGTTTTTTAACTTTGAAGTTTGAAAGAGGCCAGTATTTCCATTTCTCAATCACTGGAAACCCTGCAAAGTGTGAGTCAAAGTGTGAGTATGTGGCTTGGAAGCAAACCTTGCAACAGAAAGTGAGATAAGAACAATCTAATGACATCCATTACATAGGAACTCATTAACAGGAAGTGAGATAAGAGCAATCCAGTGACACCGAACATGGTGACTCAGTGAAAGGAAGTGAGAATAATCCAGTGACACCCACTATAGGAAACAGTAACAGGAAGTGATGTAAGAACAATCTAGTGACACCCACTATATGGGACTTCAGGATTAGGAAGCGAGATAAGAGTAATCCAGTGACACCCCTACATAGAAACTCAGAAGCAGGAAGTGAGGCAAGAGAATCCGGTCACACCCACTACAGAGAAACTCAGTAACAGGAAGTGAGGTAAGAGCAATCCAGTGACATCCACTACAAGGAAACGCTTAACAGGAAGTGAGAACAACCCAGTGACACCCCCTAGATGGAAACTCAGTAACAGGAACTATTTCCAGGATCACGGATGGTCAAATTAGAAAAGAAAAGATCTGAAAGAGCCCTGGGCACAGTGAGCAGAACTCTTGCTGGTGTGGGCGGAGCTTTTCATCCGAGTGAGGGAGATACAGAACAACTTCAGCGTGAAGACACGATGTTCAACATTAGCAGACAGAAATGGGTCAGTGATCTCCAATCTCATCTGTAGACTCAATGCAATCCCAGCAGATGTGGCTAGAATTTTACAGAAACAGATATGCAAGAACAAGGACACAAACCTTCTTGTTTCTGTCGGGTGGATTACAAATCAGAGCAGTAGGTTCGTGCTCTGTCAATTCCTGGGATTGAAAAAAAAAAAAGAACTCAGCCCAGAAGAAAGACCTGGGTCCCTGACATCTCCCAGGGATTACTTGCCAGGTGCCTCTGGGCTCATCCTTCCTCGAACCTCAGATTCTAATGCTGAACCATCACTCCAGGGTCAGAGCATGGGCCCTGGGTGAATTTCTCCAGGCCAAGTCTCTCCGTTGTGGGGCTCAGGGCCATGCCGCAAGCAGCGCTGACCACCAGACACCAACATTCGTGGCTTTGGCCATCCTGGGCCTCTCCTCCACCCCGCACTCAAACCCGCTGTAGGATAGCTTTGGTTTGTCCTTTCTCCCTTGCCACAGGGAGCGTAGGTTTATCAGGTTACACCCATCACAGTGCTCCCGAGCCACTCCCATTCCTCTGTGCTCATCTGTAACTTCTCTTCCCCAACCAGTTAATCACTTTTCCCCCCGAATCAGACTCTGTTCATTTGTAGTCAGATCCTTCTAGGGCACTGAACTTGTAAGTTAATATTGCCTTTCTCCTCTCCTTATGCCTTTTTAATAGTTTAAAGCAATGTCCTTTTTGTATACACTGGAAGACAGTTACTATTATGCTTTTGTAACTTGGGATTTAACTGGCTTCAAATATTATTCACTTCGTGCAGGCAAGATACTCTCGGTAGCTCCCCGGGCTCTTCGAGAGGGGCGGAGGAATCGAACCCAGGTGAGCCGCATGCAAGGCAAACGCCCTACCACTGTGCTGTCGCTCCGGCCTGGTAAGCTACCCATGATGTATTCGATGACAAACACAGTAATAACAAGTCTCACAATGGTGACGTTAGTGGGCCTGCTCGAGCGAATCGATGAGCAACGAGAGGACAGTGACAGTGATTATTCATTCCCGGACATCTGCTCTCTCAACTTAAGCCTCAGTTACCCTTAGTTCCTAGTACCCCAAAAGCAAGGTCACGATGAGGGACTGAATGGACCCAGGGCAAGCTGTGAGCTACCCTGGCATCGAAATGGGCCAGGCCAAAGTGCCACGATACTCAACTTTAAGTTGAGAGCATGGTCATGGACAAATTTTGGATCATGCTGTCATGATCCAAAAGTAACAATGAGATTAGGACCCTTCTAGGTATAGGAAAGACTAATCTGGCCTGAGTACTGTAGTCTGAAATCGAGATGGCCCCAGGAGAGCAGTTCTATAAGCTTAATGTATGTCTTACTGTGTTCATACAAAATGACTAATATGATGAATGCTTATATGTTTGTTGGACAAGGAGAGGAGAAACACACCCATGGGATCCTGCTCTTTGGTGGGTCGTCCTGCTGAATGAGAATCTGTCCTAGAAGCAGCTTTCCCTGAGGGAAAGACTCTACCTCTGTTGATTATATGACCACACCTATGTGTAGTTATGACCCCAACCCTTCATAACTAGGCTGGCGGAGGGGGCGAAGGAGAATGAAGTGGGTTCCAGGAGGAGGATGAAGTAGCTTAGGGGAGGAAGAAGCAGATGGGCATGGAATAAACCGCAGTTAACACCAACCAGCCTGGCCCTCATTCCTTGCTTTGCCTGCCCCTCGCCATCATCCTCTCCGGGGTCGGGGAAGAGGCCTGCGACTACCGAACGTGGGAGAAAGAGAGCCACCGCGAGAGGCCCCTTAGTAATTTTATTTTTAGTGAACATACACCCGCAACAAAGGCTCCCCTAACTCAGGGCTTAGACTCCAGAAGGTAGAAGCAGCGTCCTGTCACCCTCCCAGCACCGGGTGATCCCTGTGTCCGGGGACCACCCACATCTGCATGCTCCATGCACACCTGCCACCCCATATGGAGGCCTCTTGCCCTCTCCCCAGCCCAGAGCCTTTCAGCTCAGTTCAAGATCTCCAATGCGGGGCTGATGGTACAGCTGTAGGGTGTTTGCCTTGCA